CTTTAGGTTAACCAAAAAAGATAAAATGATAAATGTAATTTGAGATCATGACTTGAAGATATACTATTCATCATTGTTTAGGGCATCAATCATTTAGTCCTTCAACTTTGGGCTTCATGATATTTTCATAGGCAAGACTATCCTTCAAGAGTTTATTTAGGCAAGGAAAAAGGATTTTTTTTTCTATATTTTCATTTCAATAAAATGAGGGATTTCCTCTTTACTTGTTGCTCGAAATATTATTAAGAAAAGAGGATGTATTTTTGGCTTCAATGAATGGAATAATTGTCTCTAGCATCTATATTTCACGCTTTAAAGTTTGATCAATCTTATGAATATTTTTTGAATGAATTTGTCATATATTTTATTAATGAAGAAACATATAATACTAATAATACTTTCAAGTACACATCTTTCCATTTTAGATCATACAATATGAATTGCACCAAAAAAAAGTAGAAGCATTTTTTTATTCAAAGATATGATTTAATTCATGCATGATATGAATTGTCACTTTAGATGTTATTTAGGCTTTTGTGTCATTTTAATGTTCATGGGAAAAATTGTTCTTTTAGGCTTGCCACAATGAATTTTTTATTTTGATTGTTGACTTTGCTTTTTAGCCTCAACTCTTATTATATGTCTATCGGGATGTTGACTTCCATCTTGATTTGTAAATTTTGCATTGGGAATGTTTTAGTTTCTTTTTCTTTCATCCGTTTTTTTCACATTCCCTTTTTCTTTTAGAATCATTGATAAGGTTCTTTTAACATAAGCTTTTTTCAAAGTTTTGTCAATAACTTATGGAATTTGCATTCGATCTCCCTAGTGTGAGGGGTGATCCTAGTCTAGGTTATCATGAAAGAATCATCAACGAGTTAAAGTGGGACAACAAGGGATATGACTTGTGAGATATATAAAGAATGGCTTTCCTTTAGCTCGAAGATAAATTTACCTATGCTAATAAACACTAATCTCTTGTAAAAAAAATGATTAATTTAAGAAATCTATAGGTTAACCAAAAAATGAGAAAATGATGAATATAATTTGAGATCATGACTTGAAGATATACTATTCATCATTGTTTAGGGCGTCAATCATTTAGTCCTTCAACTTTGGGCTTCATGATATTTTCATTAGCAAAACTATCCTTCAACGAGTTTATTATGAAAGGAAAATGGATTTTTTTTTCTTGATTTTCATTTCAATAAAATAAGGGATTTCCTCTTTACTTGTTACTCGTAAAGATTATTAAGAAAAGAGGATGTATTTTTTACTTCAAGGAATGGAATAATGGTTTGTAGCATCTATATTTCACGCTTTAAATTTTGATCAATCTAATGAATATTTTTGAATGAATTTATCATTATATTTTATTGATAAAGAAAGATATAATACTAATAATACTTTCAAATAAACATCTTTCAATTTTAGATCATACAATATAAATTGTACCAAAAACATGGCAGCATTTTTTTTTCAAAGATATGGCTTAATTCATGCATAACAAAAGCATTTAGGAAAATAGTGTTCAAAATCTAACAATAATTAAGAAACCAAACTCGCAAATCATGAACATGCATCCTCTTCGTAACTTTCAACCTCACTCGGTCTCTTCATCCTTGGAATTAACAACTATTTGATTTGAGAGTAGGTTTGTGTGCACATTAAGAGCATACATACCACCGTCAAAACCGATCCGACCTAGGTTGATCAAATCCAACAACTTCTTCTTAAAAAATACATAATCAGCAATGTTATGCTCAATAGCATAGGAATGTTATTCATATCTTTTATCTTATTTGTACCATTGAGGATAAGGAGGGTGCATCGAGTTTAGTACGCATTGGAGTGATCTCGCTAAAAGTCTACTGGGCATTCAAACATTTCACCCAATAAAAAAAGGTAAGGGTGGTAGTTGTTTAGACTTTTTTTTTTTTTTGTGATCTTGGTTGTTTAAGTGGTAATGGTTGTGTGGTATTTATGGGTTTTTAAAAGTTGGTTGTTTTTGGAAAGACATAATAGCTTAATAGAATTGATTTTCTTGATAGGTGTGGTAGTGCGGATATGATGGATTCGGCTAATATGTTTTGTTCATGGTGGTCATTAGATTAGATTATGTTAAGTAGATGAAGAGCTTTGGAGGTTGTGAGAATAACCATAGCTGTCATACTTTCCTCGATTACTTTCTTGATTCTTAGATTGATAAGATTTAGTCTCAACCTAGTATATCTCACTCTCTATCCTTTTAACACCACCACTCCTATTATTTACAATCAAGAATATTTTCAACTTTGATTGCTTGTTCTATCTTCTCTGTCATGATAACAATATCGGTAAAATTAGAGGCGAGTTCCAAATCAAATACTCAAAATATGATGTCTTAAAAGTATTTAAGAAAATAATGATTAGCTCTAGTTTAGGTAGTGGAGGATAAATTTGAGTCGCCACCCTATGCCACCATTGGGCATATTCCTTAATGATTTCTTTTACACTTTTTTCCATGTCCTATAAATCGATCAGTTTCGGGTTACCTTTATGCTAAATTTGTATTGCTTGATAAAAACATCTATTAGATCCTTTCAATTCTTGATCTTGACCTCTTATAACCTCATATACTAGCTTAAAATCAATCCTTCTAGGCTCAAGAAGTATATCGGTAATTTTTCATCATGTACTACTTCAACCATCTTACTATAGTAAATCCTTATTTGGGTCATAGGACACCGATTGCTAATGTAATTTATGAATTTTGGTACCCTAAATTTCTCAAAAATTATCACATCAAGCACTAAGCACATCTTGGTCGCTTTTATAAGATCATAAAAGTCAACTCTTTCAATAGCCCTCAAATGTTTTTTGATTGTAGATAGTTTGTCCATATTGGGCCTTTCTAGCTTCTTCTTTTAGTGGTTTCCTCACTAGTGAGGTCTATGGTTGGCACTCCTTACGTTTATGGTATTTGTGGACCCATTACATAAATAAAAGTCCTAGTAGGACAACAATTCTTAACATGGAATGTTGTTACCTCCGGAGTTAGTGGGTTGTACAACGAATGACCCAAGCTATAGGTTAGGCACTAGAAGGCACTTGAGCTTAATTCAAGTTATTTCTCTCATTCGACAACATCATCAAAGCCTTTTCTAATAGACTACTTAGACAAGTAGTATTCCTTTTTATGGACTCAAGCTCTTGTTGTTGAGTCTATTTCAATTGTGCTTTTTCTTCATTTTTCTATTTGGCAACGTCTAAGTTACATATGGTGGACTCGAAGAAGGAGTTGAGTTTTATTGAGATAACCTATATTTCAAGTTCTATAAAACAACTCATAAGAGATATGTACAATGAATATACAACATCTACATGCATACTACGAATCAAGTTGGATATGTTACTTTGCTATTACGAGACTTTAAATCATAACGAGGCTTTATACTAAGGATGGGCCAAATCAGATTTTAATACTCGATAAGGGTACAAACTCATAAATACTTTGGGTGATTTGGAAAACATATCTACCCTAGATCAAATTTACTTTTGAAAGAATATATATATATATATATATATATATATATATATTGAAACCCCAAGTGATAAGCATATCTTATGATAATATACATGAAAGAATTTGAAAATTGGACTTCTAGCACATTATAAATGTTGCTTAAAGCAATTTTTTGTTAAATGACAAAAACAATGCAATTTACATTACAATAATCACTTATTACAACCACTTAGATTATATTACAATGCTCATAATATATACATTATAGCTAAGTTCTTATTCTACTCTTCACAATTCCAAACCTAAACTTGAGGAAGTAGTGGCTACACAATTTTTTAATCTTGTATGAGCACATCTTTAGTGGTGTACTCATTCTTTATGGGTCCTATTCTTTTTTGGCAACTTCGGGATAAAATTCGAGGATAGACAACCTCACTCCTCAAATTAGACCCATTCTAATCCTACTCTATAATTCTCAATAGCATTTTCTATCATATTTATTTTGATGATATATTACAAAAAGGAAAAATTAGAACTAACATAGTTTGAAGAGAGTCTAAACGAGTCAACGAGTAATGAATAGGATCTAGATATCCATGAGTTTAGGCAAAGCTTATCTAATCTTAAAGTTTTTTTTAAGTTTCTAAAATGTTTAAATTACCATTAGATTAATCTAGCTTCTAACCTTATGCGCTAAAAGGTATGAGAAGGTCATTCCATAATTCTAGACTAAATTAAGTAATACTCACCAAAAAAAAAAAAAGTACTAACATGATGTAACAGTCTGAGTCAGGTTTTAGCATCAATAATTGATAGCGGGGCCCACAAAAAGAGAGAGATCCTGGAGTCCAGAAAACCAAAAGAGAAAAAAAAAAATACAAAATAGAGGTGCAAGTGATGCAGCCCAATGAAAGAATTGGGATCACACGCTCTGGTATGAGCCAATGTTGGACGTGAAAAGCAGTGCTGGAGCGACAAACAATTTCACATGGAAAAAAAAAAAAAAAAAAGAGAGTAAAATGATTATTTCACAATTAAAATGAGTAAAGTAGAGTGTACTTTTTAAGTAAGAAATCTTTGTAGAAGTTTAAGCCGATTTATATTCGATTTATGATAGCTGACAAATGGTGGTTTGGAATATCAATATCAGTGTGATCTCAGAAAGTGTGAAAGACACTATGTACGTGCCGTATGAGATACTCCCCTTTTTTCCTGGAAATCATAAGGAATTAAATTAAATTTCAAGGTCACCTCACAGAGGCGTAACCAAACTTGACTTGGCCTGTGATTAGTAAAACAGAACAAAGACAAGACTAACCAGATTTGTTCTTGTTGGTCATTATTTAACCATTTTTTTGTTGCTTTTCCATCTCCTACTTTCAAGAAGAGTAACTTGCGTCACCATTGACAAAAATAAATACTACCGCTTAATTATTTCTTGTAAATAAATATTTCTGCTAGCTTACTCTGTATGTGATTGAAAGAAACCAAAACAATGGACCTAGAAGAAGAAAAACCAAGTCTTGATTTACCATTGATCTTCCAAGAAAGTACAAAAGAATCAAGATATGGGTTCAGAAAAGATGAGATTGTCGAGGAGATGAAGAAGCAGCTTGTGCTAGCTGGGCCCCTTGTTACAGTTAATTTCTTGATATTTCTTTTACAGGTGATTTCAGTCATGTTTGTGGGTCATCTTGGAGAGCTAGCACTTTCAGGTGCATCCATGGCCACTTCTTTTGCTTCGGTCACTGGCTTAAGTTTATTGGTAAGAGAGGTTTCTCCCGTTATGGTTAGATGGATGCAACTTGTGAGTTCTTTAGTGCTTTGAATATTAAAAAAAAATGTTCATTGAAAGCAATTTGATCTAAACTACAATAAGCTTTAGAACTGAGCAATCACTGGACTTATTAAGGAGATGATAGAATTAGTGCCATTTTCAGCATTCTGTGACTTTATTTTTGTCATTCCAATTCATGCTGTTAGATGGAAGGATTTAAAAACATTTGCCTCTTCTAACATAGTAATGAATGAAGCTAAGCCATTGTTCTGGAATAAAACTTGCTTTCTGCTTTTCTAAGACAAATCCTTTTGTCTTTCAAGCTTAGATTATTCAGTCTTGTAAGTCAAAGTTTCACATTCACTATCTGTTTTTTTTTTTTTTTTTTTTTCTCTCTCTCCTCAAATTTGTCTAATGTGTAGAAAGGATTGGCAAGTGCCTTAGAAACATACTGTGGTCAATCTTATGGAGCAAAGCAATACCACATGCTTGGTGTACATATGCAAAGAGCCATGATTGTTCTTCTACTGGCCAGCATTCCCCTTGCATTTGTATCGGCCAATGCTGGGTCCATTCTGGTGTTCTTGAAGCAGGATCCAGAAATATCAGCTGAGGCTGGACGTTACGCTCGTTACATGATTCCCACCATTTTTGGCTTCGCAGTCCAGGAATGTCATGTCAGATTCTTGCAATCCCAGAACAATGTGATTCCAATGATGATTTGCGCAGGAATTACAACTTTACTTCACATCTTTACATGTTGGATTCTTGTATTTAAGTCAGGCCTTGGAAATAAAGGGGCTGCATTGGCAAATGCTATCTCTTACTGGACTAATGCGTTCTTACTGGTGCTTTATGTGAGGACATCTCCCTCTTGTAAGAAGACTTGGACTGGTTTTTCCAAGGAGGCCCTGCATGGAATTCCCAATTTCCTTAAACTAGCAATTCCTTCAGCTATAATGCTCAGGTATGTTTTATTTCAATCGCTCCAAGGGCCAACTTGCATTGACTATTGAGGTATTTGGGTTTATGAAGTAGCGATTAACTTTCATTATTTTTATGGTGAAAAATAGCTTGGAGATATGGTCATTTGAGATGATGGTTCTGTTATCTGGTCTTCTACCTAATCCTCAGCTTGAAACATCAGTCCTTTCCATCAGGTTTGAGTTCTATAATGCCTTCAGTGATATTATGTTATTGACTGCTTTTCTTAACGTGCAAGAGATGAAATGTTAACCAATTGTTGTATATTTCCAGCCTCAACACATGTGCAATGACTTATATGATACCCCTTGGACTTAGTGCTGCTATAAGGTGAGCATGTGCCAAATGAACCAGTGGATGTACTTTAAAAACTCCATGATTCTCCTGACAAAATTATTTCTTTGGGGTCAGTACAAGAGTTTCGAATGAACTGGGTGCTGGGAAACCAAGAGCAGCTCGTCTAGCAGTATGTGTTGCGACATTCTTGGTTTGTACAGAAGGCATTTCAGTGGCCTCCATCATGTTCTTTGGTCGTAAAGTTTGGGGCTACTTCTATACCACAGAAAAAGTAATAGTGAAATATGTGGGAGAAATGTTGGTGCTTGTTGCGATATCTCACTTTTTTGACGGGATTCAATCTGTATTTTCAGGTATGTAGCAGTTATTTAGCTTTACTTCACTTCCTCCTTGCATAAAATCAAATACTGAACATAGCAATTTTCTATGATAAAGTTAGAACCTAATCAATATAGCGAATGCAATCAGTAACCAGAAACAAAACCAAATTTGAATGGACGATTCATAACAATATGCATGCCTTCATCCATTAGAACTATAACGTAGATGCTTTCACCAAAATTATACCGTACTTCGTCTGCAATGACCTTATTACATGATATTTTCTATGCTGGCTGACTTGACCTCAAATGGCTTTTGTAGGCACTGCTAGAGGATGTGGATGGCAGAAGATTGGAGCAATTATTAATCTGGGTGCATACTATCTTTTAGGCATTCCTTGTTCTGTACTATTAGCTTTTGTGTACCATTTCGAGGGAAAGGTAACTCCATAGCCATCTCTGTCTCTAACCGAATAAAATAACTTTGTTTGTTCCATGCAAGTAACAGAACAGCATACCAAAGCTAACCTCAAATATGGTCTACAGGGACTCTGGACAGGCATTATAATAGCACTGGTTTTTCAAGCATCAGCGCTTTCGATAATAACTCTTCGCACCAACTGGGAGAACGAAGTAAGCGCCTATTCGTTATTAATTCTTTTGTGCATCTCCTGTTAATTTGGTCTCATTTCTGCTTTTTGTGATCTCTTTTGCAGTCAAAGAAAGCTAGTAACAGAGTCTACCATGCAGTCGTTCTTGAGAATTCGTCGACATAAATGGTGAAAAAAATTTAGTAGTGTTACTTGTTTGCCTGAAGGACAGAAATGGCATTATAGAATCAAAACTGAAGTTATCATTGACTGACCTTGTTCTGGATAAAGAAAGTAATGAGCAATTTCAGAAATAATCTCAAAAATTTATGCATAGAGCCAGGCCATGAAAAGGACACACCCTGTTCGGAAATATTTATTACGATGTTTAATTCTCAATTGGAGGTTTTTTTTTTCTATTATTTTATTCATTTTTTAAAGTTCAATTGAATTCATCGTTTCTAAACTGGAACCTAATTAAAACATTGCCTCAAAAAAGAATTCTTATCTTTAACAACATTGGAAAATTCATTCGGCAATCTGTCTTCAAAAAGTTTAGGATGCTGGTCATCATTATTAGTGAATAGATAGCTAGTTGCAATTACAAAATAAAAAAAGTACAACTCTCTTCAAATGTCATTGTACTAGTTCAAGACAATTTCACAAAACGGAGACCATAAGACAAGTATATATGGAATTGTGAGCAGCCAAAAAACCGAACTCTTCAACGACTCTATGAAAATGCATTTTTCATCATTGATTTTCTTAACAGCTGTTAGTAATCCTATTTACTAACTTTATTACTTGCTAACGACAACAATGGTTATTGAGAACTAAATGCCAACTAAATGGTCCTATGAACATTATCCTACGACAAAAACTTTAATGAAAAGCTATATTCTAGGATTCTAATGAGATAAACAAAGAGAATTTCGCAGTTTAGTTTCACTATTGTCAGTGTATATAAAGAGCAGGTCTCTTCAGTATTATGTTTCATCGCAGAACACAGGTGTAGAATGCTAAGAAAAAAGGCAACAAGTAAATGGCTCATTATTGCTGGTTGATTGGTGGTATCTGAGTCCTACGAGTGAAAAAGGATCATTTTCCTTTCATATACATATTATACCAAAATTTAATATGAACTTTTTCTTGTTCCTTTATTAAGTGAGATACATAAAGATTATTTTTTATATACATATTATACCAAAATTTAATATGAACTTTTTCTTAATAAATTGAGTTTATTACATAATTATTACTCATATAGTTTCAATTTTTTTTTATTGAAACTCTCTATTATTTTTTATCTTAATTGAAACTCTCTATTTTTATAAATTTATTGATTAAAACCCTTTGTTATAATACCGTTAACTATTTATTTTACGTGATAAGTTAAAACTAACAATAGTTAAGTCAATTAAATAAGGACATGTGAAAACTCAGACCCTAATCATTTCAGTATCCAAAAATCAACTTAAGAAGTTGATTTTTTTTTTTTTTACAAGTATTCGAGAGGAGTGCTTGCATACTTACCTTACTAAGTAGCCATAGAAACACTCTTTATACTCATCAGATTATAGAAATAGACACAATTTACTTTTGGTTGCTGAAGCATATAATGAAAGGGGCTTGCATCTTGGCTAGCCAAATCACTGTACTTCAATAAGATATATGCCTGGGAAATGGATTATTTACTAAGCTTGCATATACTAATTACGCAGGAAACGATGAGATGCATCTTGGTTGGCCAACTTGCTTCAATATATGCCTGGGAACTGCAAGAGGGTTAGCTTACCTCCATGAGGAGTCAAGGCCAAGGATTGTACATAGAGATATCAAGGCAAGTAACATTTTGCTTGATGCAGAACTCGGACCCAAAATATCAGATTTTGGATTGGCGAAAATATTTGACGGCAAGAAAACTCACATCAACACTCGAGTTGTAGGAACGATGTAGGACCTCCTTCAACCATTTCCTCAGATCATTCTTAATTTCCTGATTATAAACTCTGCTATAGTCTGTAGCACAGTGCAACATACAGAAGCCACATGCAAAAACCATTGGAGATTATTTGAAGGGATTTTTTCAATAAACCTTTTCACTAAGCAAATTAATTTTCTTGTAGTGGCTATTTGACATCGGAGTATGCAATGTTTGGACGTCTGACAAAGAAGGCTGATCTTTTTGGTGTTGGTGTTGGTGTGTATATCAAGGGTTAAACAGTCAAGAAACTATCTAGGGACAAAAAGCCTTCTAAAAACAAAAACCCATAAAAGAAACTAGCAGCAGATGGGCTTAGTCCAAACCACAAAATTATACAGACCCAGCTGGGGCGGCCATGCAATGTCCTGGCCGACGTTGAGTCTGCTGTCAGCTCTGAGCTTCAATGATCTTTTCGTCAAATGTAGCTAACGCCCTTACACCTCTGCCTTTAATTGTCTGGATGTTGATGAATCATGTATAAAGTCTTTCATTCTTAAAGAAATAAAAAATTCGGCGACATGCAGCTCAATAACTAGAAACCAAGAGACTTCAAATTTAAAAACACAAAAACCAAAGGAGAAGAATGAACGAGCGCTAGTTACACTCGCACGCCCAAGAACCTACCAACCGATGGGGTAAGGAAAGGAATATACATGTTGATGGTTTTGATTGGATCTCGATCCCATGAGGTCTTGCAAAAAGAAATCTAAATCAGAAATGATGACTGTCAGTCTTTTCAAATATCAAATCTCTCTCTCTCTCTCTCTATATATATATATATATTCTTTTCTTACTTTTATACATATCTCATTCCTTATATATTATTTATCTTCAAATTATCCTAAGTATTCCTCACAATGATATTAGTGTCTTTTTATTAAGAGTATTAGGATATCATTTTATGTTACTTGTACTTGAGTTTATCCCTAGTGTTCCTCACAAGGGTAAATTGTTTAATTTCACTTTTCTTATCCTTGCTATCTCTTCTTTCTTTAATTCTTTTTTTTTCTTTTTTTTTTTTGGCATATGCAATACTAAGCTCTATACATATTTGTTAAGGTGTGTGTTAGTCACTTGTTGTTTGTAGAGCTTTAAAACGAGAACCCAAAGAATCTTCCTAATTTTTTCTCCATCGTCATGATCGTATCATCTAAATTCCTTTACATAGTTGGATTTTATTATTTATTTCATTTCCTTTCCTTTTTTTTTTTCTCTCTTTGCTCTTTAGTTTGTCTCTTTTCCTCAAGCCATCTTTTGTTTTGTTGATTTTGTTTCTCTCACTTTGACCTCTTCTTATAGCGATCGAAGAACTCTATCTTTTCCTACTTCCTTTGACCTTCCTTAGATCGAAGAACTCTATCTTTTCCTACTTCCTTTGACCATCCTTAGTTAGTAGGTACGTATCTCTTTATTTCCTCATTTTACTAAATGAGTGATCTTTAGGATAATTCTATCGATTTAAAAGACTTAGATTTAGATATTTTTGCCCTTAACTAGCTCTCGTCGCCTCATGTCCTCTTGTTCGACCACAATTTAGACTTTTTAGAATTCTCTTAGATAATGATGCTCCAATCACCGATGACCCCGTTTGCTATCTAAGTATTGTAGATGATGAACCAATAGATAATGTCAACTAATTTATTATTTAACACCCCCACCTTTGGGAATACAACTTTAAATCTAATATTTAACTCGTTAACATCATAGCATTGTAAAGTTCCACTCCTATTAAGAAACAACCAGTTAGGAACACCACATCTTCCGGAGTAACGTCCATAAGACCTCTCTTTGTGTGGATACATATATTGCTAGTATTATATAGGCTAAAGATAGCACCAAAAAAAAAAAAAAACAAAAGAAAAGAAAAAAGAGGATTAGGACGAGGTATGTGATTCATGGTCGGATCAAACACTTCAAAAACACTCAATTTAGGCTTTGTTGAAAAAGAATTTAGATCTACACTACAAGAGGTAATCCTTTGCTTATAACTTATTATTCATGTATGTATGGTTAGTATATTCAACAACTTGATCTTGGGGCCTTAGATGGAGGAAATTTTTTTATTTATTCCACACCTCCATAGGATGCATGATCCTTCGGGCAATCCATTCTGCACAATGAGGTTATTACATTTTATTTTATTTTTTTGGACAAACCACCCTATACAATGAGGCTATTGCATTTTATTTTATGAAGGCAAGTCATCCTACATAATGAGGCTATCGCATTTTACTTTTTAAGACAAGTAACCCGGTAGAATGAGATTATCACATTTTATTTTTTAGAGCAAGTCATCTTGCATAATGAGGCTATCGCATTTTATTTTTTGATGGCAAATTACCATGCATAATAAGGCTATCGTATTTTACTTTTTAGAGTAAGTCACCTTGCATAATGAGGCTATCCATTTTATTTTTTAAGGCAAGCCCTCTACATAATGAGGTTATCATATTTTACTTTTTGGGATAAACCACCATTCATAGTGAGGCTATCATATCTTACTTTTTAGGGCAACCACTTAGGACAATCATATGCTTCATTTTCACCTCTCAAATTAAATTTTCTTTGCAAGCTTATTATGTAAAGTCATTGAAAGATATCCTTTCATTTGACTTTCTACCATAAGTATTGTACAAAGGAGATAATTGTAATAACCCCAATTTTACCCCTTTTTATTTTCATACAAATTAAAATATATAAAAAAACAGAGAGGAAATTCAAATTTTCAAAAAAAAAAAAAAACAAAGAAAAGAATGTTGCATAGTTTGTTCTTTTTTATGATTTTTAAGAATTTTTAATAAATTTTTAGGATTTTAATTACTTTTTTTAATTAAAAATAAAAATAGAAGATGATTTATCCCTAAACCCTAAAAATTCTCTATATAAAGACCATTTTTGTTCATTTTTAAGATAGCCTCCACAATCATTATCCTACCCCAAAAAACCCTAGCCTTCATAACCCTAACCCTAAATACCTTAGCCTCCCACTCATCTTCTTATCAAAGAAAAAAGCTTAGTCTCCATCATCCACCTATCCATAAAAAACAATACCTAACCTCCACAACCATTGTCTTAACATAAAATAATCTAGTTAAATATCCATCTCCCTCACTCACAAAAAGGACCCAAAATGTAAGAAGTCCAATATTCTTCATCTTTCTAAAACCTTTTTACAAGACACAAATCCTAAAAGAACAAGAAAAAAATTTTAAAAAGAAACGAAAAAAAAGGCTACCAAGCGACCTCTAAAAGGGACTCCCAACTAGATCGTCCATGGGTCAACTCGACATTCCTCTTTCAAATCAAGCATCCTCTAACCAAATTTACTTTGATCCACCATCACAAATTGATAGTCCACCATTAAATTTGCCATTCCACACCTGGTTAGGAAAAAAGACAATTTTAGAGGGAGAAATTAAGAAGAGAAGCTACAAAACCCGACCCGGATAACAACCCAAATGATTCTTTATTTTTTGACCAAATCAGTCCCTCCAACCACTAGAGAAACACTTCTCACCCTCTTAGAAGTAGTTGACCCCAAAAATCATGGCTCAAAGTCATCAAAAATTGGTCAAACGAACAAAAAAACTATCCTAACCCATTTTGAAAGACTTAGCTAAATCTTTCATTTTTGAACAAATTGGACCTCCAAACTCCCGGAGAAACACTCCTCATAGTCTCCCGAGTCGATTAGTATCCTCCGTAGCCCTCATTATGGTCAAAACATAGTCGAAGAAGAAGAGCCCTCACTATGGTCGAAATCATAGTCGAAGAAGAAGAGAAAAATGACAAACCTCAATGATGTTGATCTCTTCGAAATTCATGACTTGCACTCGCCCACTCTAAACAAACCGGTAAGCCCCAATACTCCTTCCCGACTAGTCACATGCCAAGGGCTTATCGGATGGTGACCATGGATGGTGGCGATAGCTTTGGGAGCTCCAAATGGCAAATTCATAATGTTAACATGCAAAGGCATTTTGGTCATTTCTAGTAGCATTCCAAGAGGCATTTTGGTCACTCGTCTAATGGTTTGGTTTATTTGATAATAATATTAATTTAATTTGTGTTACAAAATCTAGAAATATTTAGATTGTAAAATTTATTTTAATGTATACGATTGCTTCGGTTGTGATATCGGACCAACGAGTCTCCTATTTATTATGGGCGAACGATAGTTTCAACATATTTATCAAACAATGAAAATGCTAAAAAGATAAAGAATCAATTCGATTCAATTTTATTTAATATTTTGCATAAACACTTTTGTTAATTAAGTCGTTCCTTGATATGTCGATCATGTCAAGATTTTTCATTTGGATCCGATGCTAAATTGATAAGACTCTCAAATTTTGAGATCCGACATTAATTTAATATGATGCCGCATAAGAAAAAAAAACAAAATAATAATTTTGATAATGTTTTTCTTGTATAGTTTAAAATAAAACATAACAAAAAAAAAGCATTTTAAACAATTTTAACTAAGTCTCCTATCTAATATGGTCTAATGTTAGCCTAAATCGTTCATATTTTAGTAATTAAATTATTCTTCGACATGCCAATTATATTGAGACTTAAAATGGATCTGATGTTAAATTGATGAGACACCCGATGGAAGGGTCCGACAAACAGTTCAATATGATACCGTAAATAAAAATAAAAAAATAAAATTGACTTTGGAAATAAAACTTGAAATTTTGGCTTACGATCAATCTTTGCAAAAATAGAAATTTTTATGATATAAACTTTAGGACTAAATTAGACATGGTATCTTTTTCCTAGGAAATGATGTTTTTTGACGATTGATAGCCTTTCAAATTTATAATCAACTCTTTATCCTAGAATCTCTAAATTATTGTCCATTTTAGATTTTTACCGACTCTTAATATCAAGTGATGACTCTAAACTCAATATTAACACACATTCCCAAATAAACAAATTTCAAATAAAACCTTAAATAAATTTCTAGAGTCCCACGAAAGTCGGGTAGCAACACTAGGTGTTCCTCACAAGGTTATTAGTGTCTTTTTATTAGGGGATGGTATTATTGCCTATACCACTACAGAAACTTAAGCAGAATATGTGGAGTGATATCATTAATTTGTTATTCGTAAACATGAGAACTGTTGATAGAAGACTTTAGGAACCTAGAAAAAGTTCATTTCGTTTCTTCTTTTTTTTTTTTTTTATTTTGGCGGGGGGGGGGGGGGGGGGGGTGTGGGGATTCCTCATCATTAAATTCATAGCATGTAAAACTAAGTTGTATATATCACAGGAAATAAAGCAATCAAAACTTTGATTTGGCAATACAATGAGAAGAACATTAAAAAATTTTATTCACACAATTTACAAAACCTGCAGCCAAATATAAACTTCTTTCTTTCTTTCTCATCTTATGACCATTACAAATAGGCAATAAGCTTATACCATTCCCTAATATTATTTTTCTTCGTGATTACATAGTGTAGCCTAATTCATAATCTTGAAACATCCCTTCTGACTGAAGAGCAGAAGTGGAATCCCAAGAATTCGAGGAGGCTGATTTTGTCTCGAAGTCATTAGACCACCAATTCATGCCGCCCCTAGAACCATTCATTTCTTTAAAACAATCAAATTCACCTATCTGATCCTCCTGTGCAGTAAAACCAGATGATTTGCTGTTGAGAAAGTTTTCGAGCTCAGATTGGAAATTCGAAACAACTGGCTGGGCTGCTGCATCAGATTTCTCTACCATGCCTGCTCTTGGTACTGTAGTCAAGTCCATTACATGGTTACCATTGGTGAAGGGAATAGAACTGTCTGAGGATGTTATAGCGTTCAAAGAATTCTCCAAGCCAGCTACGTTTGAATTGCTGAATTTTGGATGACCTTGTTGCAGTGTTTCAGAATCAACTAGCTGTCCATAGATATCAACCTTTTGTTCATCCCCTTGTTGAGGACTAGGGAAGGCATATTGCATAAGGGGGTTAGAGCTTTCACTCAAAGATTGGAGGAGCATCTTCTCTTGGAAAGGGTGCAACTTGGGCCACAGTGATGGATTGTTGTAGAAAGAGATAGGGTTTTGAAGCTGCATATGAAGCTGGAGCCTTTCAAGTGCTGAGTTGCTTAAGGCCTGTGAAGATGAGCTATCTTCTGCCAAGTTGGCATCTGGATTCGTGGATGATAACCGGTTGATGCTAGACTGTTTGCGTCTTCCTAGTAGCTTCTTCTTCAGTCTTGTGTTCCAATAGTTCTTGATATCGTTATCTGTTCTTCCTGGTAATTGTGCAGCAATTATGGACCACCTAATATAATTGTACATGGAATTTGAATATATCATTTGTCTCTCCCAAGAGAAGGAAAAAAAAAAACAAAGAGGAATCCAAACAAAAGAATAAACCCTACAACTAAGCTACGAATCTATAAGATAGAATTCAATATCTTAGGCGCAAGCATCATGGACAAAGAAAAAAAGGACAAAGCAGTGCATATTCGGCTCTATGGGAAAAGCTGAGAGAGAGAAAGAAAGTACCTGCTGCCAATACTTATGTAGAGGTTGCAGATGATGCTGTCTTCTTCCTCAGAGAATCCACCATGCTTGATGTTAGGCCTCAAGTAATTCAACCATCTCAGTCTGCAACTCTTTCCGCATCTCTTAAGCCCTATAATCAAACCCAGAAACAGGTCAAACAAATAATTCTTAATCCATTTCCTAAACAAGAATCAAAGAGAGCTAGTCTTGAAAGAACATTTTTCAGAAAAATATAGAGATAGATATATACCAATTTTTTGAGGAAGTGCAATCCAGTTGCCTCCAGTACCAAACTGATCAATATAAGCCTTAAGCTTAGCATCCTCTTCTGGTGACCATGGTCCCTTTTTCACGTTGTCCTTATCACAACAAGGAGCTCGACCCATCTTTCTAGCTATGCTTTCTTCTTATTCTCTTTCTCTAAGCAAGAAACTCTTCGAAGGCTGTCTGAGATTGTTGGGAAAATTGGGGAAGGATGACCCAAGATTTATAGGTAGGAATAGTGGGTGAAGTTATGCTTATTAGGACAAAAAGTCTAACACTTCACCCGCCCCTCCCCTGGCAAATTCAACCCTCTGTTTCTCTTTTCTCTAGGGTTTTTTTCTTTTTTTCTTTTTTTCTTTTTTCTGCTAGCTAGGTCTACCTCTCTCTCTCTCTTCCTTTTTGGATTAGTTCGCTCATCCACATTTAACTATGCATGCAACTAGACAAAGTACAACACAAATTTCTTCAACTTTAGAATTTTATATTGCACTGCTTTTTTTCCAGGTTGATTAGTTTATTATTTGAACACATTATTATGCTACAGGTAAGTATTAGAAGAAACCTCCATCCTGTTAGTTTGTCTCTAATATCCTCGAAATGTTCCGTCGTTATCCACCTTATAACATTAATGTTCTTGTTGATTAGGCAGTAGAACTCTGCGTATGGTAAATTATATGACAGGCTTGAACCTATTTCGAGTTAGTTGATTGACTTAAACATATTTATCATAGAAGTTTCTTGGGATTACATTAACTTCTTGGAGAGCCGCAATCAAATGGTATAATAACAGCATGTTGCTGGGACAAATAACATTCTGCTAACAATAATTTATATATTAAGCTGTAAGTTCTGTTGTGATTGGCTACTATATACATTTACTTTTGGGAGGAAAACAAAATGGAAGAAAATGATCCACCTAAATTCGTGCTAGCAAATGATTCAGGCTTAGCAATATATATAACAAGAAACAAGATTCTGCTACGTATATATGAGTGTCATAGATAGGATAGCCATGCTGAAATCATATCCCCAAAACTGGGAGGTTAGGCTCAGGTGGTCTTCTTGATAAAGTTTGTTATGTCCGTGTAAATCAATCACTTTCAGTTAAGCTAAGGCTATATCAGGTGGCCAAGTGTTGAGGTCTGTCTAATTTTTTAAGTGGAAGTAGAATTAAATCCAAACATTTAAAATGAATATTCTCTTATCATGTTATTCTGTCACTTGTTCTAACAACTGGAGCTCCGACAATCACTTATAATTCCATCAATTTTTCTTGAGTCTTGTGTTTTGGCCAAACTAAAGAAAGGTACTGCTAGTTAGCAGTCCATTTTTGGCTAGGATTGGTATCAAATTGTTGCTCAAGCAGGAGTTTGCGTGTTTGATTCAAACCTTAACCACAATTGTCAGGAAAGGGAAATGAAGTTGAGGAATAATCACACACTTAGCTAGATATCCCGTCAAGGGAAGGGTTAACATGCAGAAGTTGGCTCACTATACAAAATAAATTGATTTCGTTACATTTTTCTTAAAACTTCTAGTTAAAACTGCTACTCCAAATGTAATTTACTATATCATTTTTATTCAAATTTCTAGTTAATTAAAACTGTTAAACTCTTTTTTTTTCTTATTAATTAATACATGCTTTCTTGAAAATACGTGATTCACCTATTATTTTACAATAATTCAGGCTCTTCTCAAAAAAAAAATAAATAAATAAATAAACTCTTAACTAAGCCTTGTTTAATTTATTTTGGATAGCTATTAGTTAATAAACAAGTTCTCTTTAAAGATGAGAGTAGTGAAAATGATAAAAAGAAAATTGTTTTCTAAAAGTAAACAACCATATTATATATATATATAGAGAGAGAGAGAGAGAGGAGAATTGGAAAACAACTTTCTTGTGCTTTTCGGCTTCCTAGAAAATTATAGAAATAAAAAACACACTATTTAAAAAAAAATCATTTTTAATTAGTAAACTTGTTTTCTATAATTTTATATTTCCTAGAAAAGTGAAAAAAATCCATAAGTAAACACAACCTAATATTTTTAATTGGTTATTTAGTAAAATTTAAACAAAAGCAAATTATGTCATCTAATAGTATTAAGCTAAGAGCTTGAAAGTCGAAATGCCCAGCAAAATATACTCTCCAAGCCCCATATATATATATATAAAAGAAGAAAAGAAAAGACAGTTAAAGCTTAGTCGATGGCCCAAAACATAACAAATCTATATTACTAATTAACAAAAGCAGACACCCAACAAAACTGCCGGGATCCTTCCTCCGAGAAAAATAAACCACAAAAGCGAAGGAAAAATATCAAGTTTAGGTTCATCAAACAATGATTTTCTTGATCACAAATTCCAACAGCTCTCTCACTATCTTAAAACTCATCATACAAATCATTTAATACTGAACCCTATTACGTTACAAGTTGGCTAGCTTTAATTTTATAATAAATAATGAAGGGATCGAGAGTGTAATAAATATTTTAAAAGGAAAGGAAAGAAAAACCAAAAGAAATTAACGCAATAGAGAATTCAAAACTTTTTGAAGAAGTACCACTCATTGACCTCGGTATCCTACTTTAATATTTTTGCGAGGATTTTCTAGCAGGAGTAGAAGAAAAAGGAGGTCAAGAACCTGCAGCAGGCAGAAATAACAACAAGAAAACTATCAAATTCAAAAAGCACTCACTCCAATATATTAATATATTAACACCAAATGGAGTCGGATCTTTGGGAGGAAGAAAACATGCTTCTGTTTGTCTTTCTCTCAACCCTAGAATCTCTTCATTGACACTGCACAATTATATATATTTCATCATCAATAAGACCAACCTTAAGACCCTCTTTAGTGAGAGCTGGTAAGGGCGGGAGTGGTCCTGATGATAAGAGGATAAACTTGGATCAACAGTGCCTAAATACAATATAAGATGCAATCATTAATTGGTGCTCTAGCTCCATTACTATTACGAAGATTTATAATTCTATAACCCTATTTAGACCTCACATTTGAACTTGATGAACGATACACATGCCAAATATCTCTTTGTCTAAGTCTATTAATTCAAGACATATATATATATTCAGTGGATTATCCAATTTCGATGCCTATAAACCAAAAACAAAATAATTCCCAATCATAATAGAAAAGACCCCTATCCAATTTCAAACCCACTACTTGAATAGTTGAGATTCACTGATCAATAATGTTGATATATATATTCTAATTAAGAATTGGTAATTTAGAACCTCATCTTGATTAATGCTTCTAGGATGAATGTTTTTTTCTCTTATATGATTGTTGTTTTAAATTTTTTTCTTTTATTTTTTTATTCAATGATAAAGGACATCATCGGAGAGTTTCTACGTCATCAATACTAAATCTTTTCTTTGAGGGATATTAAGAACACATTCTTTGTATCGATTTAATGCATTTAAGAAATTTAACAAATATTCTTAGATACCGGTTTTAAAATTTGAATTCATAAAACTAATAAAGAAAGCATATTTCTTTAACTATCATAACAACCTTTTGAACCCCTTAAAGTTGATTTATTGAAATTATTAAAGATATATGTACAATATTGTAATATTTTCTTTTTATTTTTAATTTGATAATAATTTGATAATATGAAGAGGTAGATGAATTGGCCAATTAGAGAGTCTAAACCTTCAAATAATATGTATATATATTTTAGTATTGACACATGGAACACAAATATATATATATCAGTAGATTGTCTATGACTGATCGAAGATACAGTATAAGGACTAAACAAAGTCGCAAACATCTAGTTACCACAGTTTTTGACATTCATACAAAATCTCAAAAAGTGGAGAGAAAGTCACCAATCTATGTACGTGCCTATACCTCCCCCTCCACGTCCTCCCTTGCCATAAGAAAAAGAAAAAAGAAGGGGGGTTATTGAATCATTTTGCTAATACAAACTATAAAGAATGATGTTTTAAGAGACCAGGAAATTGACTTTTGTGTTAATATAACCGTGATTAAAGGCGAAGCAAATACCAACATAAAATCTTTATCTTAAGAGAGGTGATTACTATGTGAATTATTGCAAAGAAAGAGCAATTAAACAATGGTGTGTTCACGCATGCTACTTTAAGTTAATTATTTGTGCCTTCCTTTAGTTATTCAATATTATCTTAGTTAACCTCACTTCCTTACAGTTAAGGATAAGATTAACCGAAACGTATATTTTCTTGAATTAGGAGAGAACAATGAAAACCCAAGAAAGATATCACACAGATATCGTCACACATGTTGACAATGATATTCTATTGGTGGACTAATACTACACCCTAGCTAGCTAATATATATATATATATATATATATATATATATATAAGTTGATCAAGTCATTAGTGTCTCATTCAAATGAATGCTGTGAACATATATATATGTTCACAGCATTCTTTTGAATGAGACACTAATGACTTGAGCAACCTATAATAATACATAATTAGCCATATAATTAGTCTGCATGTCATTATCTCCATGCACTTTTTGTAGAATAATGCAAAAACGCTACAAACAGACGCAGTTGCTGAGCTCAAAGTGGGCCTCTGCCCCTTACTACAAGCTAATTACGACAATTGTCAACCCTTGTTAATTTTCTTTCCTTTTTCCATCTAGTAACAAACTAACCATCGCTATTGGCATCCAAGAAATTGACATGGCTCTTATCACTTGGCAATGCCAATCATGTCGTGATAACGTTTTTTTCCTTTCTTTTAAGCAAAAACTTTCGTTGTGTATGATGTAATAGGCATGCAGAAGTGGTAATTAATGGGGCCAATAGCAGAAAATCATCCATTTCATACGGTGATGTGAACTATATGTGCTTAGTCTAAATATGTAAAGAGAAATTAGGTTAAATAAGAAATGTTGTGGAAACTTCGTCTGGGAATTCGAAAATTGAGTCGAAACTTTCGTTGTGTATGATGTAATAGGCATGCAGAAGTGGTAATTAATGGGGCCAATAGCAGCATGATTTCAATCAAAATAGCAGAAAATCATCCATTTAATACGGCGATGTGAACGATAAGTGCTTAGTATAAATATGTAAAGAGAAATTAGGTTAAATAAGAAATGTTGTGGAAACTTCGTCTGGGAATTCGAAAATTGAGTCGAAACCAGCTGGCTCTCTCGGGGAAAAAAAACAAAAATGAAGGAGGAAATTAAGAGAAGAAAAAATCAACCAACCTTCCATATCCCATATTGAATAATTCATGTTTGCATTAATCCAAAACTTTAGGGATGTAACTTCTTATATCATAAATGGAGTAATGATATACAGACAAACTTTTCATACAAATATATATCAGCTACTTTTTTTTTTTTAATTACAGAAATTTGATTTAACGGCTAAGTTATCATTTAAATTGATAGGATCCATAGTTTACCATTTGCAAAATTGACACATTAATTTATATGAAATTTTAGTTTATATATCATTTTCTTTATAAGTCATGCCATTATATTTTACAAAATTGATCAAGAAAAGATTCAACTAAATTTTTTTTAACCTTTCAATCAACATGCCCGAAAGCATATCAGAATGTGAGAACAAAAAAACTTGAAACCTACACTATTCTGATTGGTCTTTCCTCACCGTGGCCTAGAAAGTAGAAACATTAATTATATTATGGTCTGTAGTTACCAAATGCAATTTCCTAGAGAGAAGGGAAAAAATGTTGTTGTCATCTTACGGGCAAGTACAAAGTTTGACTTCACAAGAAAGTCTACGCCATAGCCGTGTGTTAGGTATAACATGAGGAATAGTTTTCTACAGAGATTGGAGTAAGGTGGTGGATGATGGTGTCACAGAATTTGACCTTGTGGATCTTCCTTACAGAGAGAGAGCGAGCGAGAGAGGTGGTAGTTTGGATGTCACTGTTATGCTGCTTGACTCTGAATCTGTTGCTTAATTTTAATCATTAGCAAACTACTAAAAGATCTCTCATAGGCATTATATATATGTTTATGGAGGGTTAAAAATTAAATTAAATGAAATGAAACCACAAAAACAATGCTAATTGTTGTCTAATCAAACATGAGTTAGTACGGTTGGACCCACTAAATTCCCCTATCATCGAAACAGGAGTTTTTCTGGTCTGAGAGCACACTCTCCTGGTCAATGCCGACCAAGGATTCAATGTTGGTTACGAAAAAAATGAAACCTCAAAACATTCAGATTTCTTTAGCAAAACTTCAGCCAAGATTTGTTCAAAGTTGAGAGAATGTTATTTTCAAATTAAAGAATTTTATCGAGAACATTCTAATCTAATCGCTCTCAAATCTAAATTGGAAGGGACCATCCGAATTAGTTGAAACGTTCAATGACAAAAGGAAAATGGTCCATTTTTAAACGTCAACATGTTCAAAGACTATTGGATATCTTGATTCCTTAGCCCATTTAAAAAATTAAATTAAATAAATCAGACAGGAATAACACAAGGAGGAACAAAGTAAATTTACCGAGACCCAATACCGTGATTTATTTCGTCGTCCAATAAAAGGGGGGACCTTCCTCGATCCAAACACTTGGGATCATAACCAAATTACCTCTTGTTTGCTATGTCAGATTTATTTTTTTTTATTTTTTTTTTTTAGGCTGCTTCGTTTGCCTTCCTCTGGTCCTTAAAATAAGCAAATGAACAGACATGATAGGTCCTGAAACACATAAACCTCTTCTCTTTTTTTTTTTTTTATTTGTTCAAATTTTCTGCAGAATGATTTTGGGAATCAAACTAATACTAGAACTTTTATGGAGATAATATGTTGTATTCTAATGTCAACTCTCAAAGAAACCTAGCCTAAGGACAGGTTCCTGTCAAGCATAACAATATTCCATGTCTTACGGAATGGGAAATTGGGAATCAACTCAAGCAGTAAGGACATTCACTTGCATTCAACTGCAAGGAGGGCCAATAAATAAATAAATAAATAAAAAGGCACCAATAGCCATGCATTTTATACTCATGAAGAAATAAAAGACAATGGTCCAGAATTTTTCATTTTCCAATCCAACTATATAAAATTTCTAGCGCAAATAATGGTTGACTTTGAATTTTCAAGAACTAGATATATGAAATTAAACAATATCGAAATAAAATAAAATGAATTAAATAACGAGGAACACCTTTTCTGGCTTCATGAACTTGTGCTTCGTTTGCATGAGCTTCACGGCACAATGCAGCAAGAATAGATAATGCAAGTATTTTTCTCATATGATAATAATCATGTACATTTTACATCTCCAAATCATATAAAGAACATGTATAAAACACGAAGGCCAGGTGTGAGATCAAAATAACAGAATCAAGGTGATATAAAAGTTCAGAACAGATTGTTTCAAGTTTCGTCCAAAATCTAAGCATTAGGTGCATTGCGACCGCTCTCAAGATAAAGCTTGGAACTCTTTAATTATGATTTGACTTATATATACAAGTCCTTCCTCATAAAAAACTTGGTCCAACATCAAATAATAGTAGAAATTGCCCAAGGTAGGTGATTTCAATCCATTCAAACAAGTAAACACCTGCATTAGAAAGTTAAAAATCACTTTGTTGCCATAGATACCAAATTCATGTGAAAAATAGACTGGCGAGTACTGAAAGAATAACTTACATTCAGCATGTGCATCCACAGCCCACTTTGTACTACGTGAGCTTCCAGGTAATTATCTAGTGTGCTTATAACTGCACTCAGAAAAGAACAATCCTGCTAATAGCAACATTAAATAAAAGCTTGACATGGTTGCATAGTAACAATATTAACTGGGAAATACTCCAAACTAGTAAGGTGACATTAAATGGAGAAATCTATTTTATTTATTTTTATTTCCCCCTTTTCTGCCAATATGGCGTCAAGAAATGAAATGAAAATTGACCGCCTCAAAACTGGAATTATTTCACATTGATTGCAGCAGCCATGTTCCTCAGTTTCAAAGAAATGTCTGAGAATGAGGGTCTCTCTGTTGGATCTGAGGCCCAACAACTTTCCATCAAAGACTTCCACTCAGGATCACACCATGTGGGAATTTGAGGACGTAATGTGTTGTTCACAATTCCTCCTAAGAATCAGAAGGGAAAAACAGGCAAACAAATCGCAATCAAATACACACATAGATCATGGCATAATTTGACATGGTTTACATATAAATATCTTTCACTTCTCAGTTAAACAAAAAAAGTACAAAATCCACAGCAGCCATAAGCATAAACGGGCATGCCTGTAATTTGACATGGTTCAAGTATAACTATCTTTCACTTCTCAGTTTAAAAAAAAAAAAAAAAAAAAAAAAAAAAAAGGTACAAAATTCACAGCAGCCATAAGCATAAACGGGCATGCCTGTACAGACATGACATGGAATCTCCCAGTACATTGACTCTGCTACTAACTCAAAACTAGCATGTAAAAACTACATATACACGCATCCACTTATGAAGTTGAACCAAACTTCAAAAAACCATGCCATAAACATTTGGGCAAGCCAGAGGAAAAATGAATTGAAGAGCACCATAAAATTTACAAGAGCTTAAAATGAAGAATAAATATAAGCATTCAATATTACTTATAAACTTGTCTGCTTTTCAGTTTAGGTTGTATGGTTTTCTTAATCACACCAAGGCACTGTTTCCCTTATGAAAAAATTAGTTCAGGTCTGACACACACACACACACACACATATAAGATTAATTCAAGTCTGACTCTTAGAGTTGATTCGCATAACATAGAAATAGATAATTGACATATACTATTATACCTATTAGGTTTCCATAATGCATAATCTTAAATTATAAATTATGTTTTCTAGCGGATGGTTATAATTTAGCATTAAAAACTTCCTTCAATCTACAGAATTTTCTACATGGCACCCATTGATCTTATAGGTCATATTGCTCCACCTACTTACAAACCTACATCTTTCTACTGATAGACTAAAACAGAGTCCAATTGATAGTGGCTAGTCAGCCAACAACACAGGATGCATGTAGAACAGTGAAAAGCTGCCCTTACTAAAAATCTACCAGCTTTAGCCCAATATTGTTAAGATATCCAATAAATATAAATTAAAAGAATCAGAAATCCATTGGTCAACTCTATGAAAAGCCTGATGTTAAAAATAATGAGAAATTTGTTTCTTGTTCTTCTTTGTCCATTTGGAGGTCTCTTATCTCCAAATTTTAAATATTTGTTCTTTACTCGTTGATCCTGATACTTTTATCTAAAAAAGAAGTAAGAGCTAACTTTCCAGAACAATTCAAAGCAACATACCCTCTAGGCATCCCAAATGTACCTAAGTTTGTGATGTGAAGCCTGCATTAGGATATAACCCAATTTCAATTGGCTTTCCCAATTCTTCATCACTAATGCGTGCTTCTTTAGGGAAAAAAAGTAGAGCATGAAGAGAATCATGATTAGCTAATACAGAAGTATCCACGCTGCACAGAGGTAAGGTTATCCTAACCTACATGGTAACAACAATTCAGGTTCAAAGTACTTTAATTTACACTCTTAAGAGAAAGACGACTGAAAGCCCAGGTTTCTAATCTTACATTCATGTGTTGATAAACAACACTTTCTTATGAGAATACAGAAAAACAAATTATATTGCTATTGATATGCTTACCTAGCATACAAAAAACATTGATGCTTACCAATTATGGAGGCACAGTGCATGTCAGCATAAGGTTCTTCTCCCGTGAGCAATTCCCACATAACAATCCCAAATGAGTATACATCAATCTACAGCACAAGATAATATGATGTTACTTAAACTAGCAAAGACAGGAAAATAAGTTATGGCATTTCTATCTGAGCATAACATTACCTTCTCTGTTACCATGTGGTTTTTGCCACTCAAAAGCTCAGGTGCCATCCAGGGCAAAGTTCCACGAACACCACCTGAAACTAATGTGTGTTGTTTCACCTTTGACAAGCCCAGATCACCAATCTAAGAATACAAAATGTGTTAGATGCCAAATTCAGGTCCTTCGGGGATGATTACCATTATTAGAAGAATATAAAGTACAACTTTGAAATGAATCAGCCAGGAAATTCATAGAGCCAAGCACCAAACAAACATCAAAAGCTGATAAATCACCAAGCTTCAACTGTAGTCTACTTAACTACAGAAAGCTGGCCATTGAAAGCACTTAAAAAAAAATTATAATAATAATAAAATAAAATTAGTGACAACACACAGAACTGAAATGAATATTAGTTAACAGAAGAAAAGATCAACCCAAGTTTAGACCTCGATCCTACAAGCAGTTCTATCTCAGCATACCTTGCAAACTGGTCGTTGCGGATCTCTCATATTTACTAGCAGGTTCTCACATTTCAAATCAAAATGAACAATGTTCTTCCCATGTAAATACTCCATCCCAAAAGCAGCATCCATAGCTATGATGAGTCTCTTGCGACGATCAATGGTTCTGTTCAAGGTATTACAGTGTTACAGATTCTTCATTCTCAGAATGTTTGTTTGCATACTATCATTTTTTTCCCCTTGTAAATAAGTTTTACTCGTTAAGCATATTTCATTCACATTTCATAAAGAATAAGAACTCTTCTAACAACATGAGATAGAATATTCAAAAGTACAAACTCATGATATCACCAAGAGCATGGTTACCTGTCCTTCTTCTGCAAAAACTGTTTCAGAGATCCATTAACCATAAACTCAGTAACAGTTGCTAAAGATCCATCAGGGCCATCACGAACAATGCCATAGAAAGAAACAACATTAGGATGGTGTAATGAACTCAATATCAAAGCCTCCTTCCAGAAATCCGCAATCTACAAAATCAACATAAATGCAATAATTACCATCAATCAACAATCCACTACATTACAGAATCTTCATATTAGCAACTACAATTTGGCATCAAATACAAAGAAAATTATTGCTGCTGATTAATTTCTTAAGTAAAGACTGTTTGAAAGACATGGTATCAACTCCTTTCCAGAAAAATTCTCCATAAGGTCCTGGAATAAGCAAATATATGCCTAAAAAACAATTGGAAAGATGAAGAATAAGAACCCTTAAAAATCGGGTGAAGTTGCCATTAATAAGAGACATGAATGCATCAAATCTCCTACAAAAGATGTCAAAAATACATACTAAAGGTTTAATCCCTACTCAATTAATACACTAGTATCAAAGAACAACAAAAAAGATATTCAAAGCAAAATACAAATTTCATGTTATCAAGGCCATGATTCAGTTTTCCTTTTCTTTTACATCAAACAAACTATTTAGTCCCATTTTATAGTTATTCTGAATAAACTTAACCAGCACATAATCTTTCCTACTCTTGCATCTTTAAGCATAATGACCCCGCAAGGCCACATCCAAACTTTATCAAAGGCCTCCCTTGACACTGTTTTACAAGTACCACTAGCTCACACGTGCTCATGTATCACATATTATGTCACCTGAGACCATATCAATCTTCCAGAACCAGGGAATGATTGTAAATACAAACAAAGAATTATCGGAAAGTATAAGGGTCCTACCAAACGCTCTCTTTCAGAAGGTCTCCCAGCAAAGCAGCTGGCCTTTATTCTCTTTATAGCCACATCAGAACCCTTCCATTTCCCATGAAATACAGCTCCATATGTTCCAGAGCCTAATTCACGAATCTCCTCCAAATCATCATTTATTATTGTCTGAACACAAAATCAATCAATTGTTAAATGGAAGCACATGAAACAAAAAAGTGTAGAAAGCTGGGAACAATAACTAAAATGAACGTGCAACATTAATACGCTGATGATGTGAATGTGACAACAGTCAGGCACCTGCAGTCCCCTTTCTATAGCTTCAGCCTCAGCTTTTGTAGACTCAATTTTATTGTTGTTTATGTTGTCATTGTCAGAGCTCAGCTCTGCTTCTTCATGAGTGTTCTGTTAGACATGCAATGCATTAGACAATAAGATAATGTGTTGTAAAATGCTTTTTGAGCAAACAAAAGTTCAGTTCATTCTCACCACAGCTTCAGGCTCCTTTTCATCTATTTCTCCTGATATTGAATCATTCTTCACAGGATCAGCATTTTCTTCGACTCTAGCTTTCACTTCTTCAGCCTCTTCCAATGCTGCCTTCTTTACAGAAGCAATTAAATCAGGTAAGAAACTCATACGGCTAACTGACAGGTTTGAATCTCCAAGAACAGCAGCAGGATCTTTTTCTCCAGCTTTCACTGTGTTACCACTTTCTTCAGCTAACCTCAAGAAATTGGAATTGACAGACACAGGAAATGCTGCCTGGCCATGCATATCAGCAATCAGGTCCTGCTCCAGGCAAGATGCGTTTAGCACATCCAAGTTTTCCACCTTCCCTACACAATTTGCTTGGTTTTCTATGCCAAGGACGACTTTTCCCTCCACTTTTGATGCTTCACTAACATTGTTATTACTTAATTCTGGATTGTAACCAGAAGTAGTTGTATTTGCAGATAAGTTCAGCATTTCATGCAGAAGTGGTGGTCGAACGGGTTCTGGAGCAAAAGACTGCTTATTTTCTATTCCATAAGTATTTGGATTCAACTTCAACGTGTGACCATAAGAATATTCCAAGGGAGTTGTCCCATCAACAACCAGCATTTTCTGTGAGGACTCAACCCAAGGTTGCTGACTGTCTGCGCCAATGCCACTCCTTTGACTACTGTCTGCAGTACCCCTAAGAAATGATGAATTAACAGTACCATTCACCTGTGGAGCTGCACTGGATGCTTCATAAGGAGTGCCATGCACTGGATTTTGAGCATTTCTCCATAAAGTCTGTGGATGTGCATGTCCATGTGGTAATGGATGAAGATTCTCTGGCCCATATGCATAAGGAAAATTCCCATATCGTACTGCACGTTCTTCAGGAGGTGAAACGTGTAGGTTGTGTACAGCAGCCACAGCTTGCTCATGAAACACATCATTACCCAATTCAGGTCCAGGCCGATGATGTGTGCACATATGATGGCCATCCACCAAATTACCATGCCCAAGGGCATAATTCATGCCAGGACCATCTACAATGTAGTGATCATTGAATCTTGCGGCTCCAGAGATATGTGTTCGGGCTTCATCAGCACGGGGACTCAACTGATGCTGCACAATCCATCCTCTTTCGTGGCCTTGAGTCTCATTGTACACAGCTCGGGGATCGTTCTGCTCTCTGGGATACACTGGGTGGTGCACCTTCGCATCTGCACTTAGCATGAAAGTCTCCTTGTTCGGGGGACCATCAGCAACTGGATTAGCAACCTGAGGAAGTCCATTTCCCATGCTGGGTTGCTCCAAATGCAGTTGATTTCTTGGGAAAGCCCCCTGCAGTGCTCACAAACACTGTTCCCTTCAAAAACACCGGGAGCATGCAGCAAGTTACCTGGAAAACCACCCTTATCACCACTTACTGCTCCAGCAGGCATCCATACTACATTTTCGCAATACTGTGGCTGGTGGTCATAAGGGGGATGCTGATTTAGCTGTGACCGGGCATATTCTTCAGGCATTCTATCCATGCCTTTATCGGGTAATTCCCCAAACTGCATACGGTACCGTGCAGAAGGAGGCGAATTTGGAAACTCTGATAATGGTCTTGGATCATGGGGGCCATGATGCCTAGGAGAATAATATGCAGGACTCCATGGACCCTCCATTTCATTATATCTTGGAGCAATAGCAACATGATGCAAGTTGTGCTGTGATATTGGCATCTCACCACTCCTTTGGCTAAAGAGACCACCTTCAAGACTCATTCCATTAAAAAACTGTTCTTGTAAATGGACATCATCAACTGGACCAATTAAAGGGGAATCAGGATGCTGCCTTCTAAAATCAGGCCCATCATTCAAATTATTCAGTGCATCCACGTACCTCCTTTCACTCTCCCTTCCATCCCCATCAAGATAGTGCACTGAACCATCTTGGTCTGTATTCGAAAACAGAAAAATCCTAAGCCTTGTGAAACCATCCCCAGAACTCAATTTCTCATATTCCTCCATCATGTTAATCACATCATCATCATTCACAACCGACACTAATGCATCAAGATCCTCATCAGGCTGTTGATACTTCAACACCGTTGCCCCATCATAAAGCTCTCTCATTTTACTCATCAACTCCTCATAACTGATATCCCTAGGCAAACTCACAATCCGCGTCTCTCCACCCACATACCGCAATTTCCCATCTTGGGGTCGAGGCATTATGCTACCTAAGAAACTACACAATAATTTAACACGTGGGGTATCATCATTCGAACCAGGGTTGGAACCAGCTGTGGAATTAGTGGTAGACATTGGCGTATCCATAAAGTAAAGAGCTTGCTGATTATCAACAGGATTATCAGTTTTGTTCAAGCATTCAATTCTGTTATTACACATGGAGTATCACCTCACAACACATCAACACTAACAGCTTTCTCAAACTTGAATGCATAACAACACAATTCACTGAGGACTCTAACAAAGCAAATAACAAAGTGATTCTTCATTAGGCAGCTCATAAAAGGTCCATAAAATGATCACAATCAGTCATTGCCACTAATGCCAGCACCAACCCGCCAATAAAAACAAGAACCCTAAATTGAATGTAAAAATAAAAAATAAAAACCTCAATTTATCAATCTAAACCGAGAGAAACTACAGTCATCAACATCCCAAAAATCTCAAAAGAACCCTCCTTGAAGAACCCAGATTCGATTCAATAATATATAAAAGAAAGAAATCCCAAATTCTAATATGAAACAAGAAGTACCTGGTGAATAAACTAAAATACAAGAAGGTCCAAGATTTAAAATTTATGTGTGTTTTTGTGAAATGGGTTAGTGGGATTTCTGAGAAAGAAAAGAAAAGAAAAGAAAAAATTGGGTTACGAAGGAAAGAGGTTGGGTTGTGGTGTGACTGTGATGATGATAGAGAGAGAAGAGGAGGGAAGAAGGCGCAGTTGCAATGCAATGGCTGCTTGCCAGGTACTGTCACACGTGGCAGTCCCTGCTTTCTCTCCCTTCTTGGCATCGTTTGTTTTAGTACGCATGCTTCTCCTCCACGCTCTATTGTCTCGCGTTTGTTTGTGCATTACAAAGAATTTGTTCTTATAACCATTAATAAATATATAACTAAGAATGTTACTTCTGGAACTTATAAGATTCAATTTGGTGGCCAATGTATGTTTAAGACAATCCTCCAATCTGTCTACCTCAACGTTTTATTTTATTAATGTAATACTCTTTTTGATGAGCTCCATAATATTTTATTATACACAGGTATATGTAAGGTATGTAAGGTTTAAGCTTTTGGTTGAAGAAATAAATTTTCATTAGTTTTCTAGTTTTAATGGGAATAGTTTATTTTTTATTTAATTGAAATTTATTTTTCGTATATAGACAATGATATGACGATGCATCTAATCGAAAAAAAAAACAAATAAAAAACATTAGCATTTATAATTTTTCAAATATTGAAGTTTATATTATCATCCTTTATGAAAATATGAATTTATAATAATAAAACATAATTTCTTTTATAATATTATTCTTTTTAATAAATTTAATAACATACTGAACTCTATTTATTTTAATTAAATGTTGATTAATACGTTATTTATTATATAATTTAATAAATCTTTCAATGAACAAAAAAGAAGTTTATTTGAAGCATCAAGATTATAAGAATTCATAATTTTAAATCAAATCTTTCTTTTCATAATTAAAAAAAAAATTGTAGATTCAACTTTTAGGAAAGAAATTGATATTCTTTATGGATTAATAAAAAAACACTTATTACTCATTATAGAATGAATTGAAATAATAAAAAAAAAGTAATATGTGTGAAACAAACATGATAATAATTTAGTATTCTATTATTATGCAGAGAAAAAATCAAAAGTAGTAAAATAATTGAAAAAAAATAAAAGCAAACTTAATTCTCAAAATTAGAGGTGATTATTCTGTTTTTCGATTCGATTTCGATGTTTTTTTCAGCTTTTGATTAACCAAATCGGCTAAGACAAAAACCAAAGCGAATTGAGATTTGGTTTTTCGGTTAAAAAAACTGAATTTTTTTATTCGATTTTCGGTTAAAAACAGATTTTTTTATTTTTTATATTTTTTTTCATTTTTCTTCTAAAAATCGAATTAATTTGCTTTTAAAAATATCAAACTTGCATAATCAAAGATTGCATATTTCACATTTGATTTTATAAGAAAATTATGTATGATTATTATTATTTTTCTACACTAAACTTGTTTCTATTGATATTATAAACTAAATTAATTGGGTTTCTCGTTATTTTTTCAATCATGTTATAATTGATTTTTTGTTAATTTTTCATATTTTTTTAATCTACTTATTTTGTGCATATTTTATTGTTGAATAGATAATATGAAAAATCTAATTCTTAATTTATGTTTGTGCCAATTTTAATACAAGGAGATAATTTTTTTTTTTCATGAGATTTTAGGATTCACCAACACATAAACTTGTGTATTTGTTAAGAATTAATTTATCACAAGTATTTTTTTTATTTGTTTGTGAGTCAATATAATATAATCAATTATATTATTATGTCAATAAATAATTAATGGAAAATATTTTTATTTTAAGTAGAAAAATCATTAAAGCTATTGTTCTTTTAGTTAAACCCATAAGTGCCTCTTTTATTTTATTTTATTTTTAAAAAAACAAGAGCTTGGATATGTGTTTAAAAAAAAAAAAACTAATTCGATTTTCAGTAGAAACCGAATTTTTTTATTTCAAAGCTATTGTTCTTTTAGGTAAACCTATAGGTGCCCCTTTTATTAAAAAAAAAAAAAATAGAGCTTGCACATGTGTTTAAAAAAAAAAAACTAATTCGGTTTTCAATGAAAACCGAATTTGAAAAAAAAATCGAACCGAACCGAAATAATTTTGATTTTAGTTTTCTTTTAAATTTTTTTAAAAAAACCGAATCAAAATTATTAATTAAACTCGATTTGATTTTTCGATTTTAATCGAATAATATTTACCGCTACCCAAAACTACTTCAATAATGCCCAAAATCAACCCTATGCTTTTTGTTTGCAAGAAATAATATTCTCACAAATTGTTGCACCTGTCACCAATCTGGCATGGATTTTTGGAAACGTGTCAGTCATCCATTGAGTGATCCACTGAGTTCCTGGAATATTCTTCGTATAAGCGACCTAGGTGTTCGATTCCGTTAAACGTCAATAATCCGGTCCAAACGCTACCCCACGCGCAGCCATTGTCAGTCAATCACTCTCGCTTTCTTGTGAAAAATCATGTGGCCCACGGACATGTGAAGCCAGTAATTGAGCGCCAGGTGGCACAAGTTTGATTCGTTTGGCACCAAGTTGCGAAGGCAATGGTAGTGGAGGCGTCATTAGATACAGCTAGAGGTCTCAAACTTGTGTGCACTCGCTTTCTAATTTCTTGGCCTTTACTCGAATTCTTCATTTTCATTCTTTGGTGTCCATTGTCTGGATATAAATAAATATCCGAAGAAGGTAATTTGCTTTAGATTTTTTTTCCTCTCTAGTTTAGTTGGTAATAGATATCTCATACTCCTTATGTCAGACAGTGTTAGTTTTCTCTAATTTTTTTTTAAATAGTTTAAAAATATTAATTATTATGACATATCAGTTTTCTTTATCTTTATTTTTAAAAAATATCATTCTATTCTGTCAAATTTTAGTTTTAAAATTTTTAAAAAGATACGAAAATCATTAAATCATTTTAAAATCAAAATGTCAAATTAGTATATTCAATTCTCTTAAATTTAAGTTGAAAAAATTTTAAAAACATCTAAAGATCATTAACTAATCTTAAATTTTCTATAAAAATTTTTAGCAAAAACTTAATTCCAAAAACAAGATGTCAAATCAAAATTTTCGTCCCTCCTAAATTTAAGTTGAAAATTTTTTAAAAAATATTTAAAGATCATTAAGGGATTCTAAATTTTTCATAAAATTTTATGACAAAAAACTAGTTCTAAAATAAAGGTGCCAAATCAAATTTAGGTTGCAAAATTTTTAGAAAGATTTAAAGATCATTAAGAAATCCTAAGTTTTTCATAAAATATTAAGCTAAAAAATTACTTCTAAAATTAAATTGTCAAATCAAGATTCACGTCATTTCTAAGGCTCCGTTTGTTTGGGGGAAAACAAGTTCCATAGGAAAATCAATTTTCGAGGAAGCTATTTTCTTGAAAATTATTTTCCAAGAAAATATTTTTTGCTATTTGACAATTATATGAAAAAGCTACTGAAAAATATATTCCAACGTTTGTTTGATACAAAAAATTAAAATACAAAAACTTATGTGATTGTTATATTAACAAGTTTTGAGAAGATTTTAAAAAGACATTCATAATTTCATAATATAAGATACATTTAGAAAAATTTAATAAATTTTCATCAATACTAACTCTAAAATTTTAATTCAAAAAATAAAATGTATTTTTTAACAATCAAACCAAATCATCAAAATTACTTGGAACAAAATTAAGTCAATATTCATATTTGGTAAAAAAAGATTCTAAGTAATCTTAGCATTATTATTTTAGTAGCTCAATTAAGAATTTTTTTTTTTAAGAAATTGAACTAATAATTTAGTCTAAAAAATAATTTGATAAATTATTTGTTATCATCTATAGATAATTATTTATTTGATCTCAAAAGTTAATGTTGGAATAATTTGTAACTAATTATTCGTTACAATTACCAACAAAATTTTACAATTGATTGATTAAAATTATAAATTATTGATTTAATTACAAATGAATAGTATTAAAAAAATAATGTATTTATTAATGAATTAATTAATTTTAATTTCTTTTTATAAAAAATTATAGTCTTGTAATAATCATTTTCAATCATTTAACTATAGCTTAGGTAGTGATTAAGACAATAATAAAAAAAGAGATAAGTTATTGAAATATTTATTATAAAAATAATTGTAAGGTGTAAAAATTATTTTAAAGAATATTTAATGTATCTATAAATCAAAAAATCAAATATTAGTAAAGATAGAGAAAAAATAATTAATTAATTAATAATAATTGATAAGAAATAATTAAAAATTAATATGATATATTTTAAATAAAAAGAAGATAGAGAAAAAAATTGTTAAAATATATCGAGAGAGTTATGTAACGAGAGAGCGAGACGACTCGTAAGAAGGAAAATGTTTTCCTCTTTTGAAACCGATAAAACATTTTTTCAAAATTACTCTATCATTTTTCGTTGATCTGAAATCATTTTCCATTGACTTTTTTCCTAAATGTGAAACAAACACTCGAAAAACAAGAAAAACAAGTTCTAGGAACTTGTTTTCCCCCAAACAAACGCAACCCAAATTTAAGTTAGAAATTTTTAGAAAGATCT